CACACACACACACACACACACACACACACACACACACACACACACACACACACACACACGTACGTGTGCATGCAAACATTTTGGGGTTTGAGGGGTTTTTGTTTTTAAACAGTGATGAGACACTTAATGATAAATGAAGTACTTATGGATAGTCTTTAATGAAAAAGCAGCCTGTATTCAAAAGTACCTTCCTGAAAGAAAAATTACTTGTTTCCAATCTTTGTGTACAGACTACTTAAAATATAGTTTTGCCAACTCTTGCAATATTATCAAAAAGTCTTACAGTTTGGTGGATTAAAGTGAGACTCAGCTTTCACTTTAGAAGAGAATCCCAAGTGTAAACACTAAAGGCCACAAGTGTCAGAAAACCAGATAAGCTTGGTAATATTTTAAAGTAAAATCTGATGATTTTTGGAAATACTCAATGCTTCTGTTTGTGACCAACATGTGGATAATTATGTAAAATAGTTTTCTGTTCTGCCTGCCTTTAATACAATACAAACATAACCATTCCAAGGACAACATAACACCTAAAGTTAATAAAATTCATATATGGCATCTAGCACATCATTATTACTGTCTGACTGTGTATTAGAGGCTCATTTCCCTATGCATACATGTTTTTCCATTTAGTTTGACATGGCAATCCTACTGCATTCAAGACTCTTATAAGCCCTTCTCTAGTGACCAACTACAATTTGATCCTCACAGATTTGGGGTGTTGTTGGGGAGAGGGGGGGAAGGGACACAACCGCAGGCCCAGTCCAGGAGCAATGGAGGGTATACATTTATAGAAGTTAAAAAAATTTATTAAATATAACTACATCCACCTCGTGAAATACCTACATTAATGGTATGTGCGTATATTTCTTACTGCACACTGGTTAGAGTGTAAGGAAGAATACTTTTTGTTCACCTATACTGCTAATGCCATTTTAAGAAGCATCTAGTTAAGCAAACACCTACTTTTCATTTTAATTTGAAAAATATGCTGAAAAAAATGCTTGGGGGGGAATAATTCAAGAAACTTCAGATCTAGTAATGCTTCCACAGAAGAATTTATCCAGATCATTTCTTTTAACGATGCATTAATGCTTGGCAAAGATGACAGTTAAATAAATTGATTTGTTAAAAAAAAATTGTAGATCTCACATATTAAATCATATATCTAGTAGACGTACCAGCCTTACAACTTCTCCACATTAGAAAATTTAGTCAGTTGAGAATGGCTTTTAAGACTGTTTAAACTGTCCGTTTAGATGCCCGTTTAAAAAACTGACTAAACTTCAAATTAATTTTTCCTGAAATTTCCTATCCTGAACTACCATTAAGTTTATAAATCAGAAGTGCCATCTGGACAAACAAGTGTAAGTTTACAAGGGCTTCCATAATACAGCAAGATCTACCAGACAATTTATAGCAACACAGACATATTCTTCAAATGTAATGAGTAACTTCCCTTAATTTTTCTTCAGAATTATTTTATGATTTTAAGACTTATAGTCTAAGTACTAAACATTAAAGCAATTCGCAAACAGCTGTATAGTTAATCTTGTGTTCAATTACACCACGAAAGTGGTTATGTCCATCTTTGTTTATATTCCCTAAAACTGATACTAACCAGGGAATAACTATGAGGAAGTAGACATTGGGATCATGCTGAGTTGGTTTAATCTTAAATGGCGTATTAGAAAAACAATCAGCATGCTGTAATGACTAAAGCAGATGTCAGAGTTAAAAGGGGGCACTAAAGTTATTATAAAAACCCAAACTTAAAATTATGGCCCTCCATTGAAGTCAATTCCACGCTTTCCTTAGGATTATAAGTGCTTCAACCCTCCACCTAGCAGCAAAAGCTCAACCCGTCTTCTAGTTATAAAATATCCATCTGCCCCTAATCTTTACAAGGGACCAGATCCAATAAATCAACTGCTTCAGTGCAGTCTTGACACAAAAACAAAGTTCAGCAATTCTTTAAGTAAGCGTGGCAAGTTATTATCAGTGAAGAAACGAATCAGTGAACACAGATAAGCCTGTACAAATTTAAGTATTCTCCCAGGCTCCTATATGCAATAAAAAGTTCTGCAAAATTAAAGTTACTTACCACTTGGATGCAACTGCAATGGGCACAGTAAAGTCAAACACCATAAGCACTGCAGATGCCACGAGAAGAGTGCATTCAGGTAGAAACTAAAAACCCTGGTAGAAAGATCTGGCATTTAATAAATGTGACAAACAGTAGCTAGTTCCCTGATACCTTACCTTGCATTTCTGTGCTTTGGCATGGTAAAGCACATCCTGATAATGCCTCGCATTTGTTGGTTTCACATCTTGCAGTTTGGCTGTAGGCAGCAGCAATGTTTCTACAGTTTTCTCAGGATCCCCCTGATCAATAGCTTCATTAATGTGGCCAATTGCAACAATTCCTAAGAAAGGGAACATGTTAGTATTTAAAAATGCACTAAATCTCACACCAAGTTCAATCAAAAAGACTGGTGCCATAAAGAGGTTTAAACCCCAGTATGGTAATTTTAACTTAAGTTCTCTCAAACAGACAACAAGCAACAAATAGTAAGCAAGGATTTTTTCCTGCTCCCACAACTAAGTGTTTAACTAAATCTAACTTATTTTAAGATATCAGATTTATTTCTCTCAAAAAAAGGATAAAAGAAGACTTCTTTCATTTTGTTCCAGAACAGGGTGACCAAAAACATTATTCAAAAGTAAGAAAGAAGATAAGAAAAAAAATCCAATTCCAGAATAAATACCTGCCCTAAAAGGACTCTCAGAATTTTTTATATTAGACTATTCAAAATAGTTTTCAGCACATTCATTTTCTCAAACAAGCATATACATGTAGATATTACATTTCAGGCCACCGAGTTAGAGAAACCTAACCTGAATATACTCAGGGAGAATTAGGTGAAATAGAGATAGAGACAGTGTTTGAAGATACTGTTTTTTTATATATATATATATAAACAGTATCTTCAAACACTATCTCTACCTCTATTTCACCTAATTCTCCCCGAGTATATTCAGGTTAGGTTTCTCTAACTCGGTGGCCTAAAAAAAAAACAAAACACCCTGAATCTCAGAACTGCCGAGCAGCTATAACTCCCAGTGAAGACAGTGAGAAAACAGGGTGTCCAGCAGGTCTCAAAGGCACATAGTTTTAAAGAGCTGCAATTAAGTTTTGACCCTCATTTTTGTTTTAAAAAAGAAGCGCTGAAGCATGGTATCGAGTGATTTTCATAGGATTTTGCTATACCAGTCTTGCAAATAAAAACCATGGATCCCTCCAGTTTGCCATCACCTGTGACAGAGTGCATTCCAGTTGATGGCTGCCTGGGATCTGTTGATTTTTTTCCTCAAATGTATATACATTCACTTAACTGGCGAGGTCACAGTCCTATGACCTCACAAGGGCTTAACTCTTAGGGGGCTAGGAGGAGTGTTATAGTTGTATTTAAACTATTATAAAGGCACTTAAAATGGGAGCATTTACCCACTGAAGGGTGTTATAACCCATACTAAGTACCTTCTAAACATTTTAAAGATAAGCCAATTGAAGTGAAGGTTAGCTTTGATCAGTCTTACCCAGGTCATTGTTAGGACAGCTCCAGGGATATTATAATAATAATAATGATAATAATAATAATAATAATAATAATAATAATAATAATAGCAGCTTAATTTGCAGTCTTCCAGATTCCCAGAATGTGCAGCTTCCAGCCTCTCTACCCATTTCCACCCTCCAAACCTCTATTCTTCTCTTCCCTCCACACCAAGTGCAGTCACTTTGAGCAGCTTAAGGTCCCTGGCAGACACACAGGTAAAAGCAAAATGGGATCCGATGTGCAATCCACAAAACTGCACTTCCCACCCTGCCACATGTTCATGCCAGAGGACATAACTGTGGCATTGAACATCAGATCCCATCACTCCTTACTGCCGGAGCCATCTCCCAGCCACAGCCTGACAGGGCTCCCAGGCACAGGGGTGTACCATGCACACCCAAGGCTGGGAGCTTAGATCAGCTTCAGGATTCCAGCCTTGGGGCACATCTGGCCACATGTTTAATGGCATCACAGGAACCAGCCACAAAGTTATTACACATTTGTTGTGGAATAACTTTGGCTTATTCCTTGTTTTACGGCACCCGTCAACTGTTTTAATGTGTGGCTGGATTACAATTTAGGATGCGATTAACTGTTTAATCATGTCTTAAGCATTGTGTGTGGCAGGGGCCTAACTGTAATAACATCATAGAGCTCAGGGAAGTGTGTTTCCCACAGCTCCATGGCTTCATTATCCAGAGGCTCTACACTGAGCAGAGCTGACAGGGTCTCAACTAGTGCAGGGAAGACCATGGCTCTAGCCACCCAGCAACTCCACTCTCAGCATGCAGCCACTGTATTAAATTGTAGCAAGATCAGGGATTCCAGGGAGCTGAGGGGAGAATAGCTCCCTGGCCTTCAGGGTTCAAAATACTGGGGGGAGGGGCAGGGGGAGGAGCAATGAGCCCCTGTATAAAAGATGAGATCCCCCAGCCTGCCTCACACCTTTCTAAGAAGCTCAGGCAGTGGCAGCTCCTTCTGACTTCTGGCTGCCACCACCACAGACCCCACCATGAGCTGGAGTGCAATTCAAACCTTGCTGGTCTTGTCACACAACGGTTCCATACAAGGCACAGAGCTGCCAGGGGTTCACCCCCAGCTTCTCCACACTCAGCAAGGAGCCGCTGGATTAAGTGATCTAGCCCGGTGATTCTCAACCAGAGTGCCACGGCTCCAACAGAGTAGAATCCTTTTTTGAGTTGATTGCAATGGAAGAATTGCTCTATTATTTTTCTATAGTAGGAACAAAAAAAGTGAAAAAGTAAGAGCTGGCATTTACTGAGGGGTGCCTCAAATCTAT